AATAGAAAGCTTTGCATTTATGATTGGCTTTACTAAATCCCAGCTCCTCCTTGGTGCAGAAGGTGGGGGTGGTGTGTTAAATACCCTGAGTGGATAAACATAAATAAGACTTCAGTAGTGGTAATCGTTCCCCATCTTTGTTTACAAGTTGAAGAATTAATAAAGAATTAAGGATTCATATAATTGGTACTAGAAAGCACCTGCTTTTGAAAACTCTGTGGTTTATACTACAGATGCTTCAAATGCAAGGTTTCCATAACTTAATGGCACAAATGGTAACTGAATAGCTCAAGTGTGTTTCTTTTTTCTTTATTCCTCTTTTTCTTTTTTTTTTTCCCCCTGAGTGAGCAAGCATTGCTGCCTTGATGTGCAGCTTCAAAAGATACCTTCAGAAAAGTGCAGCAGTTCATATGAAGGTGCAAAGAAGCATAAAGTTAGAGGGCACTAACTATCCTACTTGCTCGTAAAAACTAAAGAAGAAAGAAACCTGCTGGATCTATATTTCAAAGATGACCCAAGAAATGTGGTCGGCTTCTCTAAAAGTGATACGTTATTTTAGGGAACTGAAAGCTCTTAATAAGTGGTTTGGAGAGAATGTGGTGCTCTTAGTGTGCTAGCTAAGATACTTGCTTAAAAATCTCTCTCGCAACAATTAGTAATTCATTTACTCTAGTTAATGATTTCTGCTCATATTTTAGGCAGATGAGGGTGTGTTTTCCTTTGTACAGAAAAAATAATGATGAAACTACTGCCTAATTGGGTACCAGTGGGTTTCAGAGATATGTGATAAAGTTCTTTTCAAAAATGCACCCCTTGCACTGAAACATTGTGGGCTTATTTTTATTTTACATGTACATTTAGCTTGCAGAGAGATCTCAAAGCAATGTTTATGCTTAATGTAAACATATGTATATGTGTGTTTGGTGGTAACATGGTGGCAATGGATGAGAAGGCTGAGGTACTTAATCCTTTCTTTGCCTCAGTCTTTAGTAGAATCAGTTGTTCCCTGAGCACCCAGACCCCTGAGCTAGCAGATGGGGGTGGGAAGCAGAATGAAGCCCCCTGTAATCCAAAGGGAGATGGTGAGGGACCCACTCCAGTGCCTAGATGTACACAAGTCTGTGGGACTGGGTGGGATCCACTGGAGGGTACTGAGGGAGCTGGCAGAAGCTCTCACCGAGCCATTTTCCATCACTTACCAGCAGTCCTGGCAAACTGGGGAGGTCCCAGTTGATTGGCGTCTAGCAAATGTGACGCACATCTACATGATGGGCCGGAAGGGTGATCTGGGGAACTCCAGGCCTGTCAGTCTGACCTCGGTGCCGGGGAGGATTATGGAACACATCATCCTGAGTGCCATCATGCAGCACATGAAGGACAACCAGGCAATCAGGCCCAGTCACAATGCATTCATGAAAGGCAGGTCCTGCTTGACAAACCTGATCTTCTATGACAAAGTGGTGAATGAGGGAAAGGCTGTGGATGTTGTTTACCTGGACTTTAGTACAGCCTTTGATACGGTTTCTCACAGCTTTCTCCTGGAGAAACTGGCTGCCCGTGGCTTGGACAGGAGTATTTTCGCCGAGTTAAAAACTGGCTGGAGGGCCAGAGAGTGGTGGTCCAGAGTTAAATCCAGTTGGCGTCTGGTCACAAGTGGTGTTCTCCAGGGTTGGTACTGGGGCCGGTTCTCTTTAACATCTTTATCAATGATCAATAAGTTTGCAGACAACACCAAGTGAGGTGCAAGTGTCGACCTGCTTGAGGGTAGGAAGGCTCTACAGAGGGATCTGGAGGGGCTGGATCGATGGGCCAAGGCCAGTGGTATGAGATTGAACAAGGCCAAGTGCTGGGTCCTGCACTTGGGTCACAACAACCCCCTGAACACTACAAGTTTGCGGAAGAGTGGCTGGAGGGCTGCCTGGTGGAAAAGAACTGGGGGATGTTTGTTGACAGCTGGCTGAATATGAGCCAGCAGTGGCCAACAGCAACCTGGCCTGCATCGGGAATAAGTGGTAAGTTAGACTAGGGAAGTGATTGTCCCCCTGTACTCGGCACTCCTGAGGCCCCACCTTGAGTACTGTGTCCAGTTTTGGGTCCCTCACTGCAAGAAAGACGTTGAGGTGCTGGAGCAAGTCCAGAGAAGGGCAATGAAGCTGGTGAGGGGTCTGGAGTGCAAGTCTTATGAGGAGCGGTTGAGGAGGGAGCTGGGGTTGTTCAGCCTGGAGAAAAGGAGGCTGAGGGGAGACCTTATCACCTTCTAGAACTACCTGAAAGGAGGGTGTAGAGAGGTGAGCGTTTGTCTCTTGTTCTGGGTAACAGGTGACAGAAGAGGAGGAAATGGCCTCAAGTTACGCCAGGGAAGGTTTAGATCGAATATTAGGAAAAACTTTTTATTGAAATGGTTATTAAGCATTGGAACAGGCTGCCCGGGGAAGTGTTTGAGTCACCATCCCTGGAGGTATTTAAAAGACAGGTAGACATAGGGCTTAATGGTATGGTTTAGTGATGGTTTTTATCATTGTTAGGTTGATGGTTGGACTACATGATCTGAAAGGTCCCTCACAACCTAGGCAATTCTGTTATCTTATAATTCTATCTATATATCTTGCTATCTTGGTAAATTTCATATCGGACAGTTATTAATTGTTCTGCTGGACTACATCCTACACAAAGTCAGTTGGTTCAGAGATTAAAATGGCTAAAGACAGGTCCCAAATGTCTACTTTGATTGCTTTTGTGTAACAACACATCTTGTGCAAGTCTGACTTAAGATTTTGAAGACAATTATGGACATGACTCAGACAGAAACAACCATTCTGATTGCCCATCTAGATTATACATTTCCCCCTTAGCTAATGATATGATAGAGAAAGTACTTTTCCATGAATCACTTTCATATGAATCATGCAAGGGATGTGCCTTATTACTCAACTATCTAATTTGTATTTTATAGGTGGTTGACAACTGCACTCTGGAAATGGGAGATCTGTTTTTATTTAGATCAGTATTTCGTGGACTTCTAAAACTTTTTATCTGGGTACTGCTGTGGGGCTTTTCTTCTTCATCTTCTGAACAAGAGCAATCTGTTAGTCTTTTTTTTTTTTTTTTTCTAGCATGCCCATTCTGTTCTTTCTGAAGACATCCAGATCTCAGTGCAGTAGCACAAACACTTTCTTTTACTGTTCACTTGTCCAGAAGATACTTGCAATAGTAGCTACTGAATTGTAATCAGAACTTTTGACAGTGGTGCCTTAGCAAACTGTTCTGGGAAGGGGAAAGCAAATAAGACCTTTGGTGTATCACCATCAAGTAGCCTTATCACTGAACTGTGTAGTCCAAAGCATGCTTGCTCTGTGTGTGACAAAAGAACAAGTTCAGCAAGAGGGCTCAAGGTTAATCCCCTTCTTCCTCTTCTCCCCTTCTCTGTCAAGCTGGATATAACCAAGTGATTAAGGAAATCTTTGGAAAGGACATAAATATAGGTTTGAATCCCATCATTCTGGAGGCAGAGTCAAGCTCTCTCACATCCTGGCTGAGCAGTCTAAGGACTTAGTAATTGTTCCAAAAGGGAATGTGTCCTTTTATTCTTACTCTAAAAGTGCACTTTTAAGGGATTTTCAAAAAGGAATTTCTGTGCTTTGAAAATAAGCATTTATGAGTGTTGAGTAGGAAATGATGCTGGGGTCACTCTTTTAGTGGCAATGGGGTTTACATGTAACCTGAATTCTGGACAAATATCTTTAAAGTGAAAACGTTCATCTTGGAAGGTGGTTAATCATTCATTTTAGTGGTTCCCTCTTCCCAGGGAAATTCTGGCAAATTCTCCCCGGGTTATATAGCAGGGGTTGGATGTGTTATTCTGGAAGCAGGGTGTGGGAAGTGATTTTTGGAAGAGGAACTCCTTACTAAATGTATTTTTTGTCTTTATTTTTACTCTTCTAGCCATATGGAACTCTATAGTACTATACAATTGCTACTGTACCATTTTTACTGCGAAATACTGAGTTTTTTTCTACCATAAATGTACTTCTTATAAAGTTGATATGAAGTTCTTGGCATTTTGCTTTAATTCAACTCTAAAATACAACTTCTTCGCTTGATTTCCATACAGTTGATATTTGTCCAATTACTGACAACGTGGATGACACACAACAGAAGCAACTGACAAAAGCAACGTTGCTGTTGAAACTTCAACAAAATATGGGTATGTTACTTCCCTTATTTTGCTATGGCAATCCAGAAACTATAATGGGCCCTTTCAGTACTGTAAAATTCCACAGTATTATTAGTGAATTGGTGAGATTAATGCAATACTTTTCTAAAATGAGTCCCTGTTTCAGTGTGGGTGTTTCTGGGGAAGAATCACAGCCTGCTGTTGGAACAAAACCCCTGTTTGCATTCGTTCACCCTACAAGTCAATACAAAAGGCTCATGTAGCTTTATTTGTTTTTTTGGAGAGCCACCACTTCTATAATTCTGTACTTTAAAAAAAAAAAAAAGCACAGCACAGTTGAATGGCATTGTCAAGTAGGCATTCATAAATCGGCTAGTGACTCACTATTGCTCTTCCAAAGCTGAAAAATACATATGGGCTTGGGTGCTAATTGTCAGCATCAGTAATGCAGGGAACACCAGTCACAAAACTCTTCTTTCAAATACAACTTCTCAATAATGCTCTTTTGTCAAGCTCTCCTCTATCTGTCTGCACTTGGTACAGTTCTCTTTGCTGTGAGCTTTGACTGTCTTTTACAGTTACGGTTTTGTTGACTAAAATGTAACTTCTGTTTTCTGTTAATTCTTAGAAGTAGAACGTGGCAACTGGAAGATTAAAGAGTGCTTTTGTGTTAAATAGTGTTAAATATGTGTTTGCTTTGCATGTAAAAATGTTTTCCCTTGAATTGTCACTCAGGTGTTCTGGGTTTTTTTGGTTGTCGTCTTAACTGAATCAGTAGCAAGCATGTTAATCAATAGGAAAATTACTGTTGCGTTACAAGGAGATGTACAGAGAAGCTGTAGTGCCACACAGAAATGAAAAAACTTAATAGCTTTTGTTTCTTAAAGCTTACATATTTTGATATTTTTTTCCTAGTCTGATTCCTAGAATTAAGCAGTAGTGTAGAGTCAGTGCGTTATTTTATAGGCTAGGACCTGAATAAGGTACTACAGAAGTATGCAGTCAACTGGATTTCTGGAAGGATCCTACTCTGATTAGAAATGTCAATGTGGAGCTTTAATAGTTTAATTATCTGACATCGTAGCTTTAGATTTAGTCTTAGCAGTGGTAGATAGTTTTTGGGGTGGCTCTTATTGTTTCTCCTCCTGCTCGTCATTCACCTTGACCCTGCCCTCCACACCCTAGCTACTGCTGACTCTGCTGCCCTTGCCACTCACCGAATGCATTTCCTTTGTTATTTTAGGTGTGGTAATAGCAGCTGCTGTTGCAGTCTTTGCATCGATCTTCTCTTTCAATTACTTCAGTGATTAAACTCAAGCAAGCAGAGCTTCATGGAAGTATTGGCCAGTTACAAGATGGAAACATCTGGGTTTAATATATTAGTAATTAAAAATGGTTGCCTAAATATCACCAGTTAAATGTGCAATATAAATTGTAACGATAGGTTCAGTTTCCTTGTTCCAGCATGCACTTACTATATCAAGTAGAATTATGCGGTTACCATACCAAGTAGAAGGTGAATCAAGTTTGCAAAGAAACTAGCCCTGTCTGTCTGTATAAATGAATAACAGTATTATTTTCTGGAAACATCCCTTAAAAAACGTAGAACCTTCATTTTCTTCCTACTTGGTGTTTTAATGCAAAATGCTACTACTGGTGTTTTTCAGGCTATTGGTAAAACTAGCGTAGTTCATGGTATGACGATTCTTGCTTTAAGGGTTCCTTTGCTAAGAGAAATCTTATTAAAGTTTATTGGGGAGAAATAAGTTTTAATGAAGCCAACATTCCACCATATACATTATTTTGGGTAATATTGATTAACTAGCATAATAGATATACAAATAGTCTAGGAGTTTAATGACTAATCCGATTCAGCTTGTGAATCCCTTAGTTCAAGAAATCAATAAAATGCATAGAACTTTTGAGATGTGTTTATGCTTTTACTCAGTGACTCTTGATGAGGATTTCTCTGTCCAGCTCTGATTGAATCATGATTCTCTTGGAATATTAACTATTTCAGCAACAGCTACATCTAAGCAGCCCTTGTGGATTATCTTGTAGATACATGCGATTTGTCAAAATCGTTTGCCAATCAGGATTATTAGACTATAAACAGATACCTTTCCATTATGAGATATTTTCCTGGGTATGTTAGGCAATAATGTTATTGTTTAGTTGCCATGAGGAGAGCAGGAGGAGTGAAGAATTCCAGTAAGGTTAATAAAGATAGTTTGTGTATGAAATGTGATGTTTACTTGGATCTGAACTGTAACAGAAAAGAATTCCAGATTTTAGGGTATTTTAATACCACTGCAGATGTCTTTTTTTGTATAAAGGCACTGGAACACTAAGATGGGATACTTTTAATAAAAAGCAATTATGAGAAAGATGTCTTAAATATCATTGCCTTATCTGTGTATTCTGTTTTTGCTTGCTTGGAAAAAGATCTGCTTTTAGTATTGTAACTATATTTTGGAATACAATATTGATCTTTTGTGCTCAGTGTTGCTCAAGTGGGGCCTCTCAGAGGAAAGTGAATGTTGCAATGGAGGCACTGTTTTCAGGTAAGTCCTTCAGGTGCTGCATGTTTTATAGATGCCTGTTATTCTGTGCAAATGGGTGGAATCAATAGGCAAAATGCATTATGCAGAAGCAGTTCATTCCAGAGGAGGTTGGGTGCTATCTAGAAAATGAGATGAATTTTGTAACTTGCTTCAAAACATGGTTGGTTTAAAAATTGTTCTGCTAAAGTCTCTATTAGAAGAAGGAGCAGGGGGGTAATAAGAAGAAATAAGTTTTGTTTTTTCTCTTTTTGTGTTTTTCTGTTGGTGGTTTTTTTTGGGGGGGGGAGTGGGTGGGGATTGGTGGTTATGCTTTTGGACATAAAATAAACCATGATTATTCGATAGTTGCCTGTTACTTGAAATTCAACCATCAAAATTAAGTACAAAATTTGAGATGCTAAATATCTTACACTGGAGAAGAAAATTGTCACGAAATGCTGTCCCAATAGTTCTTCTTGTTTGGCACCTGTGGTGTAAAATAGTAGAGGTTGTTTGGAGGTATTATTCTATGGATTCCCTAGCAAAAAACTCTCTTTCTTCTCCCCCTGCAAGGTTATTCAATGTTTAGTAAATGATCCTTTTCTTTATGGTGTTACTATAGACTGTCAAATGAATCCTTCAGCTTATTAACTAACTAGGTGTCAAAGATCTGTCGCAGTCTAATTTTCCAATTTGAGGTTGGAAGAAGGCAAAGAAAGAAGTTGCTTTGGATGAGATTTCTGCTTTAATACAGGAGACTGCATTTAACCACTATCATTGCAAAAAGAAAATTATTTAACCCTGTCAAAGAAAAAGTGAGTAATTTGACTTGTATCTACAGATTGAGACTTCCAGCCATGAGGAAACGGTGGATGTAGAAGAAAGCAGGTTCTTGCTTGTCTAAGAATTACAGAACTTATCAAGAGGGGATTTCATTGTCCTCTTGCTTCCCATCCTTTTTCTACTGGTAGCCATTGATAATGTGAGAAAATGAGTTATGTAATTAAAAAAAAAAAAAAAGAAAACATGCATGTAAGGAAAAAAGAGGAAAACATCCTTGTATAAGTATTTCTAGAATGCTGCTTAACTTCTGCTCAGGTTTTATATAGGTATATATTTTCCTACTACCCGTGTAATCTTCTGACTCTTTCAGTTTGTGAAAACTCCATTGTGGCTGAAATTGAGCTTTGTTAACACATATACCTGACTGCAAATAGATTTTTATTTTAATACGTAAGAGTCTAGAGGAATGGCTGGGACTTCCACATCTGAAAATCTGGCTCTTCTAGGTGTAGCTCTAAAATTGATGTTACGGAATAATTTTACAGACACCTTACTTTCTGTGCTATGTAGTAAACTACATAAACTATGTAGTAAAACTGCATAGTTTTAAAATGTATTTTTAAAAAGCCTCAGTGGTCTTGTGGAATGAGGTTTATAATTCCTTGCATATCAGGGGTAGCATTCAGCTTAACATACGTGCACCTACTAGAGCTTCTGTTCTTAGTTTGCTCAGCAGTGACACGACTGAGAATTAGTTCCCCCCTCTCCTCCATTTTCGTCTGCGTCAGAATATTTGAGGACACTCAGGGTCTCGGTGACTTTGAGTCAAAAGAAGGAGTAACTGTAGCCAAGAGTAGCAGGAATGCTGCTTTCATGTGCTTATTCAAGCATTTTACTCTTTGAGTCTTCCAACAGAAGTATGAAGTTTGAGTCAAGTTTTGCTTTTTGTTTTAAGGTGTTTTTTTTTCCCTGTAGAAATATGGATGACTGCAGTGATCAGAGCTTTTTTGCAACTTCATTAGTCATGAGCTTCTGTTGAGGCTTGGCGTCACATGTGTGTTTTCTTTTTCTTTGGGTTTTTTTTTTTGTTAATTACAGGTTGAGGGAAATCCTGCTTAAGCATGCTTAATCTGTCTCTTAAATCGGGGTGTCAGCTTATTTCTTACAACTACCTATAAATGCAGTTTCTGTGGTGGTTATTGTTTGTTAGGGTTTGTTTTTTTTTTTGCTTTCAGCCTGCTTTCTCAAAGAAGTGAAGCTTGCGTGATCAGGTTGCTGATGTGCAATCTAATAACTTTTGAACCAAGTTTGACAAAGAAGGAAAGTTCTCAAGAATGTTAAGTTCCCACCAGTTATGTGGAGTTTTTCTGGTGTGTAGAGGACAGAAATTTTTTCATGCCTCTTCTTTAAATCATCTCATCAAAAAATGCAGGACAACTGTCCTGCTACTTAAGGAGCTGGTTATTCTTGTAATAGAAGATAATTCATTATTTACTACATAACCTGTTTTAAGATCATGAGATTTTCATAATGTTAGGTATATCTGCAAATGGTAGCTTTCTGAAGAGTTGACCTACTGATGCAAATGAAATGTTAAGATGAAAGTGATTTTAGCTGATGCGTGAAGATCATGCTTCTATAAGGGGGGAAAAAGGACTGCTCTAAGGGAAAAGCTTTATTCCACCTGGGCTTCTGTCAGAAAAACTTATGACAGTCTTGCTGTCATTACGTTTTGGAAGATGCTATTTGAATTCTTGGTGGAATAAAATAATGTATTGTTTTACAAGTTGGAGAAGATTGTACATTGTTAAGAGATACTAAGGAACTTCATTTGTATTCCCTAGTGTACAATGGGGTGAGGTTTCTGGTGCTCTGTTAAAGTATTAATTCATGGGCAAAACAATATTAAAAGTAGAAATTCAGTAGCATTTCAATAGTCTCTAAAATTGGACAGATTTAAAAAAATATTATTTTTTTAAAACAGTATTTAAAACAGGGCATAAGTTGTCTTTAAATCATTTTGTTTGAAAGGGCATCTCATGACTCCTTGAGAAATGTTTTGCAGGGTTATATTTCACAAATCTTTTTCAGTAGAATTATTTTGTTGTGCAGATCTGTTGGAAAGTAGCGTAACTTTCAGCTACCCCTGTGAATTTTCCAAGTGAATGAAAAGTGGAGAAAAAATTGTATTTAGAAGACTGATAAGAATTTGCTTTTATTATGTGGGTTATATCACTGGAGCAATGGTTGCTTGATGCTGGCCGCTCAATGCTGAATTCTTACTGATCTACGTGCAGAATTTTGCAGGGTGACATTTCCATGGTGGGATCCTGACCCAAAGCCCTCCAATGTGAGCAAAACATGAAACTATCATATCAAATAAAAGCTGGTGAGTCATATAAGTACTGAAAATAATCTTTAACGTTTTGATTCTCTCAAATGTTATCAGCGAAATTGTGTGCGGTTGAGATGTAGGTGTTTCTATCCTCAGAGTAGATACAGATATTTCTGTTGTCAGAGTACAATTCAGCCTTCAGCTTTGCTGGTGTGCAAAAGAAATCATTGAAATGTTTCTAATGTTTTGTTGCCTTGTATCAAAACTAGAGGATGTGGATTTTTTTACACCTACAGAGAGAGAGAGAGGAAGGTATATAGTGAGTTTACCCTGTGTTTTCATCTCGGATAAGTTGTTAAATTGTAGTTCTCAGCAGCATCCCTTTGGCAAAACTTAAAACTTTAAGTTAGCAAATGTTTAGTGAGTGCTTACTAATATTTCACATGTTTTTAAGGTTAGGGCTACGTACTACAAATATACTTCACGCTTCCAATGGCAAGTTTTGAGAGCTGTTAAGCTTTATTCAGAGTTATTACATAAGCACAATATACTTTTTCAGTAACTCTCAGACATTTTAAATATTACTGTTCAAGATAAGGAGCAACAATGAACTGAAATTAGCTGATAAGGTGTCTGTGTTAGCTGTTTGGATGACAAACTTATAGAAGCGCTGAGCTAACTTCTTTATTTTCATGAATATTGGAAGTTAAATGCAGAAGCATAAAATAATGTCCTAGATACCTAAGCCATTTAGGAGTACAAGGACATTGGGCTATTTGTTTGTCCTTAAAACTGCTGGATAAAATCTTGTTCCTACTGAAGTCGGTAGAAGTGAATCAGAGGCGCCAGGACTTGTTGTAATTCCAGAGCACAGATATGACTTTTTGTGTATGCAGAGGGATGGATCAGTCCTGTTACTGTTGAAGTTAAGCTCTTCTTGTGCTTATTGGAGACACATGTAGGCCCTCAATTTTTAATTTTTTTTTTCCCCCTTAATTTCTTAAAGATCACCAGTACCATCTCCTGTTCTTCCTATTACTTGTGGCTGATGCAGAAGTAATTATTTACAGGACCGCCTGTTGTATGTGTTTTAAGTAAAATTCATGTACTAACAGTTAAGCGATGTTTATATATATATCTTACAAATAAGTTAGCAAAGATGGCGTTCTCTAAATTAGATGGGTGTTACTGAGACTGATTTACAACATAACGAAGAGGAAAGGGAGACAGTGAGAATTATGGCTCTCATTACTCAACATCTTGGTCATCCGTGTTGCCATTTCCCAGTGCTGGAAGCTCCCGTTCAGGTAGCAGCCCGTACTCATTCAGGAAGGACTCCACATCCACAGCAAAAAACTCCTCATTGAATTGTTCAGAGATGCTAATGAAATTGCTCAGAAGCTCCCCACCCTTATAGACAAGTAGAGTGGGAAGCACTTCATTTGAGAAGCGATCTCCAGCCCCTGTGTCGGAGGCCTTGATCTTGCAGAACTTCACAGTGGCGTACTCAGCCGCCAGGCAGGTCAAGCTGTTGTTAAGAGCATCACAGCCCTTGATGCCATCTTCATAAATGTGGACGATGACGGTGGTAGTTTTACGTTCTTTCTCAATGGCTTCGAGGAACTGTTCCCCATTCTGCAGCTCACACAGATAACCATATTTTGGCCCAAAACTCAGCCTCTGGTGCATATCCTGCATGCAGCGCTTGCGGTATTTTTGTAGGCAGCTTTCATCTTCTT